GCTAATACAATAAACTCCGCTCTAAAAGGAACCTTAAGTACACAGCCATTGGTTTCAATGGTTCTATTTAAAGTATGACTTAGGCTGCAAATCTAACCCCACTTACCCAACTTACTTCTGAGTAGACCTGTGCTGTTAGTTCAATACAACCTTTCAAGTGTTTAATTTAAAATATTTATATACTCCTTTCCCCTTAAAATAAATGGATTTTCCCACCGAACCTCTGTGCTTCACCAACATTCAAAATTTAGAAGCTAGCTTCCAAAGTAATAAAAGTACTATAACAGCTTTCGTCTTTAAACTTTAACATTATGTGCAGTGGGTTATTAATTGTAGTTACATTATTAATTTTTCATTTCTATACAAATAACAGGTTTTTAAAAAGTACATTTTAAAGTCCTTTCAATAAAAGTTTTAGGAAGGCTTGCGTTTCAAAGTAGTCAAGCATCACATGTTTCACTGCACACTCTTTAGAGTTTTACACTGAGCAGAAACATTGTTTTCAGAGCAAATGAGTTCTGAACCAGGCATTCCTGTTGTCTCTTTGCGCAGCAAAGTGGATAGGGTGAAGTGCCACAGGTTAGGAAAGGGTGACATTATTGATATTAATATTTTTAGATCTGATTATAATTTATGTGGAAATTGTTCACTTTGGTTTTTCATTTTTTGATGTTTTATTTATTGTTTATGACTATGTTATGTTTATAATTATGTTTCCTTCACACGCACATTGTAAGCTGCTTGAGCACGGCTTTAACTGTGGAAAAGTGGCATACGAATATATTTATGAATGAAGGAAGCTGTCAATTTTGATTTTTCCCAGATTCTAATTTTTCCATCCTTAAGTTCCGTTTTCCATATTTCCATATGCGTTTGCAGGTTTTTTAGTCCGCATGAAAATTCACCATCATTTTAGTGTGAATTTCTCTCCATATACACATATTTCTCTGCCATTTTCCCTAATGTACACATTTTTTTTGCAAAGCAGTGTTCCCTAATATAACACCATGTCATTTTCACTAATATGTTTATGCACTCTTTACCTTGATATATACATTTTTATACAAAGCCCTTGTCTGAGAAACTCTACCTAAAAATTTGTAGAAATGTGGATTTCAAAGAATGGCTATACTTCAATTAGGTAAGGGCTTATCCACACTTACCTTTCCTCCACTCTTTCCAGACCTGATCCATGCTTTAAAACTCTAAGTCATAGCACCCTTTTTCTTCCCCCAGAGCTTTCCCCATGAAAACCTGCTCTTTAGTGCTCAATAGGAGGAAACATCAATCTGAACTGATGTTTGCTCCAACTGAGTGCTAAAGAGTGTTGCTGTTGTTGTTTTTTGTTTTTACAGGAATAAAATAAAATTGCTCAGATACAGAGCTTTAAAGTGCCAACCTGTGCCTGGAAAGAGTACGGCAAAAGTGTAGATAAGCATGGGAGAAATAGGGAGAGGGTGAAGCAGAGCAGTTACAATTGGAAGATATGGCCTCAGGAGCATCTGTTTCTGTTCTAGAAAAAATCTTTGAAAAATTGGAAGCTTTGGACAAGAAAGTAGATGCGCAATCAGCAAAGATTGATAAAAATACAGATTGTCTAAACAAATTAACTACACAGGTGGGACAGAATACACAAGCAATTGGACAGTTAACGGAGGCCTCAGTAGAAAACCGAAAATTGGCTGAGGATACCAGACAAAAATTGGAAAATTTAGAGCAAGAGGTAAGACCACTCACTAAACAAGTTGGGGAACATCAGACTTATCTTTCTATGATAGAACTGCGAAATCGTGAGAATAATTTGAGGATTAGATCATTACAAGAGGCAGAAGAAGGAAATCTAACTGAGTTTTTGACCAAAGAACTTTCCAAGTTCTGGAATTTGGAAGAAAAGGACTTTAAAATTGTGTCAGCTTTCAGACTTGGAAGATTTATAAAGAAGGAGAGGCCCAGGGATTGTTTGATTACATTGAGATCGAAGGAGGAAAGGGATAAGATTTTGGGTCTACATTACGAAAAGTCACTGGAGGTTTTGGATAGAAGAATTGAGATATATAAAGATATTCCAAGACAACTGTTGGATCTCAGAGCCGCCTACTCTGAACTTGCTAAATTATTAAGGAGCAACGCAATTCCATTCAGGTGGGAATTTCCCCAAGGATTATCTTTTACCTTTAGAGCGAGAAAGGTCAAAATTAGAACATTGGAAGAGAGAGATAAATTTCTGGCTACATACGGAGAGGACCTACAAAAAGGAATTGAACTACCTTCCGGGCCTGGGGCAAAGCCAGCATTAATACCTGCACCTGGGGAACTTGAAGATCCAGAGAAGACACCACCCGGGAGAAATAACCAGACAGATCCAGGATGTCTCTGCAACTGTTGAGCTGGAACATTAATGGTTGTAACATTCCGGAGAAAAGGAAGAAAATATTTCATATATTAAAAAAAAGAACAATTGGACATTATCTGTTTACAAGAAACACATGTGACGAGGCTCCACAGAAAAGTGCTAATAAATAAAAGATTGGGCCAGGAATTTATTTCGTCGGACAAAGTGAAGAAGAGAGGAGTGGTGATATATGCAAAAGAGAGCCTGTCACCTAAATTTCTATTTAAAGATGAACATGGAAGGATTTTGGCTATTGAGATACAATATCAAGGAGAGAAACTGCTGATATTAGGAATCTATGCACCCAATGAAGGGAAATCGGAATTTTACAAGAAGTTGCAGGGGACAATGCTGGATCATCTGGATTACAACAACATCATAATGATGGGAGACATGAACGGGGTCGTATCAACTAACATGGACAAGTCGCAAAGTCAAAATGTCACAAAAGATGGCAGACTACCTAAAACCTTTTTGAAATGACTGACAATATGGACTTGATTGACATTTGGAGAACAAAGAACCCACTAGGTAGAGAAGGAACATTCTTTTCTGAAGCCCAACTGACCTGGACAAGAATCGACCAAATATGGATTTCTAGAGGCCTGGCACCTAGGGTTAGAAAAGTGGAAATCTGCCCAAAGACCTGCTCTGACCACAACGCAGTAAAGATGGATATGACACTACTACCAACTGGATCCTTTAGATGGAAGATGAATGACAATTTGTTTAGAGATCAGGAAATTACCAAGAAGGCCCAAAAAGTTTTGAAAGACTATTTCGAGATAAACATGAATAATTCGGTGGAAAAAGAATCGTCTGGGACGCAAGCAAAGCTGTCATGAGGGGATTCTTGATACAACAGAATGTAGTAAGGAAAAAAACACAAAATGAGAAAAAAGACAAGATCTTGGATAAAATAAAAGAATTAGAGAAGAAATTAAGAGTGAATCCAAAGTCACAGCCAACTCTGAGAGAAATTAAACTGTATCAAACACAATATTCTAAATTGATAAATCAGGAAATTGAATGGAAGATTAAATTAATGAAACAAAAAACGTTTGAGTCGGCGAATAAATGTGGAAAACTGCTATCTTGGCAGTTGAAGAGAAGACAAAGATTAAATACGGTTACAAATTTAGAGGTCGATGGAAGAAACATTCAGAATCCAGTGGACATTAGAAAGTGTTTCCAGAGATATTTTAAAAACTATATACCCAAGGGCAGCAAGACGAAGTCGAGATTAAACAATTTTTGGCAAAAAAATGGATTATCTAAACTGTCACAAGAAAATAGGACAACCCTGAACTCTAAAATAACACGACAGGAGATTGAACAAGCTATTCAGAACATGCAACTTGGCAAATCTCCAGGGCCAGACGGGCTGACCTCCAAGTATTATAAGACACTAAAAGACTATTTGATACAACCCTTGATGGAGGTTAGCAATGAAATTATGGAGGGGAAGAGGGCACCGGATTCGTGGAAGGAAGCGTTTATCACATTGATACCAAAGTCAGAAGCTGAAAAGACACAACTGAAGAACTACCGTCCCATCTCCCTTTTAAATGTGGATTACAAAATATTTGCAGATATTTTGGCAAGTAGATTTAAAAAGTTTTAAATGAAGTAATTCATAAGGACCAGGCCGGTTTTCTCCCAGGTAGACATCTGTTTGCTAACACAAGGAACATTATTGATATCTTGGAACTTCTCCAAACTGACATAAATACAAAAGCAGTTTTAATTTTTATAGATGCGGAGAAGGCCTTTGATAATATTTCTTGGAAATTTATGATGGGAAACTTAAAAGAGATGGGAGTGGGACGGGGTTTTGAGAATGGGATTGAGGCGATATATTCAGAACAGAAAGCTAAACTGATAGTTAATAATGTGGTTACAGAAGAGTTCAAAATTGAAAAAGGGACACGACAAGGCTGCCCTATCTCCCTTTGTTATTTATTTCGGTTCTGGAAGTGCTATTGAACATGATTAGAGGGGACCAGTTGGTGGAAGGAATTCAGGTTGGTCAGAAACAATATAAACTAAAAGCTTTTGCAGATGACCTGGTTTTGACCTTGCAGAAGCCAGAGCCTAGTACGAAAAGAGTATTACAATTGATTAATGACTTTGGTCGGGTGGCGGGATTTAAATTAAATAAACAGAAAACCAAGGTTTTGGGAAAAAATTTGACTGAGACAGAGTCAGAACGGTTTCAGAATGAGACGGAACTTAATGTGGTTAAAAAGTAAAATACCTAGGGGTAAACATAACAGCAAAAATCTAAGTCTATTTAAGGATAACTATGAAAAATGTTGGACAGAAATTAAGAGAGACTTAGACAGTTGGTCAAAATTGAAACTTTCTTTGTTAGGCCGAATTGCTGCGATTAAGATGAATGTATTGCCAAGAATGTTGTTTTTATTTCAAACACTTCAGGTTTTGGACAAAATGGAGTGCTTTCAGAAGTGGCAGAGAGACATTTCGAAGTTTGTCTGGCAGGGCAAAAAGCCCAGAATTAAGTTTAAGATACTAACTGATGCAAAACAAAGAGGGGCTTTGCCCTGCCGGACTTAAAGTTGTATTACGAGCCGCAGCGTTCTGCTGGCTAAAAGATTGGCTACTTCTTGAAGACACTGATGTGTTAGATTTGGAAGGGTTTAACAATGTTTTTGGATGGCATGCATATTTATGGTATGACAAAGTTAAAGCAAATAAGGCCTTTAAGAACCATATTGTTAGAAAATCACTGTTTAATGTCTGGACAAAATATAAAGACTTGCTGGAAAATAAAACACCAAGGTGGCTTTCACCTTTGGAAGCTAAGGCCCGAAAAAGACCCAATATGGAGGCCAAATGGCCAAAATATTGGGAAATACTAGAAAAAGATGGAGACAATTGGAAATTGCAGAGTTTGGAGAAAATGAAAGACAAAGTGCGAGATTGGTTACATTATGCTCAGATTAAAGAAGTTTTTAAAAATGATAAGAAACTAGGGTTCCAGGTGGAGAAATCGAAATTAGAAACAGAATTGTTAGAACCAAAGACTAAGATACTTTCAAGGATGTATAACTTGCTGTTGGAATGGAATACACAAGATGAAATGGTTAAATCGGCTATGATAAGGTGGGCACAGGATATTGGGCATAATATTATGTTTGAGGACTGGGAAAGGCTGTGGAGTAATGGATTGAAATTTACTGCATGTAATGCTTTGAAAGAAAATGTAATGAAAATGATTTATAGATGGTATATGACCCCAGTCAAACTCGCAAAAATTTACCACCTGTCTGATAACAAGTGCTGGAAATGTAAAGAGTGTGAAGGAACGTTCTTTCACCTCTGGTGGACCTGCCCTAAAGTGAAGGCGTTCTGGGAAATGATTTATAATGAATTGAAAAAGGTATTTAAATATACTTTCACTAAGAAACCAGAGGCTTTCCTTTTGGGTATTGTCAGCCAAGGGGTGGCAAAGAAGGACCAAACATTTTTTATGTATGCAACAACAGCAGCAAGGATACTACTCGCAAAACATTGGAAAACTCAAGATCTACCCACACTGGAAGAATGGCAGATGCAACTGATAGACTATATGCAACTGGCTGAAATGACTGGCAGAATCCGTGACCTGGGAGAAGAGAGAATCGAGGAGGATTGGAAGAAATTTAAGAACTACCTACAAAAACATTGTGATTTGACTGAATGCTGAATAAGATGCTTGACTAAATAACTGAGCACCACTTAACTTAGAAGTTTTTAAGAAAATAAGAAAAACTGTGAAAGTTTAACTCTTTATGAGAACTATAAGATCATGAAATATCGAAGAGATATAAGAATTTAAATAAGATGATAAATTGCTGACAAAATGTTATAATGATGAAGGTGGGAGCGGGAGATGTGAGGAAGTCCAAAGAAAATGTGAAATTATGTTAAGACGAATGTTATATTGTTTATTACATTTATTCCTATTGTAAAATCCAATAAATTGCTTTAAAAAAAAAAAAAAAAAAAGCATGGGAGAAATAACCAGATTGAACCAGGATGTCTCTGCAACTGCTGAGTTGGAATATTAATGGTTGTAACATTCCGGAAAAAAGGAAGAAAATATTTCACATATTAAAAAAGAACAATTGGACATTATTTGTCTACAAGAAACACATGTGACGAGGCTCCACAGAAAAGTGTTAATAAACAAAAGATTGGGCCAGGAATTTGTATCGTCGGACAAAGTCAAGAAGAGAGGCGTGGTGATATATGCAAAAGAGAGCCTGTCACCTAAATTTTTATTCAAAGATGAACATGGAAGAATTTTGGCTATTGAGATACAATATCAAGGAGAGAAACTGTTGATATTAGGAATTTATGCACCTAATGAAGGGAAATCGGAATTTTACAAGAAGCTGCAGGAGACAATGCTGGACTATCTGGATTACAACAACATCATAATGATGGGAGATATGAATGGGGTCGTATCAACTAACATGGACAAGTCACAAAGTCAAAATGTTACAAAAGACGGCAGACTACCTAAAACCTTTTTTGAAATGACTGACAATATGGACCTGATTGACATTTGGAGGACAAAGAACCCACTAGGAAGAGAAGGAACATTTTTTTCTGAAGCCCAACTGACCTGGACAAGAATCGACCAAATATGGATTTCTAGAGGCCTGGCACCTAAGGTCAGAAAAGTGGAAATCTGCCCAAAGACCTGTTCCGACCATAATGCAGTAAAGATGGATATGACACTACTACCAACTGGATCCTTTAGATGGAAGATGAATGACAATTTGTTTAGAGATCAGGAAATTACCAAGAAGGCCCAAAAAGCTTTGAAGGACTATTTTGAGATAAATATGAATACTACGGTGGAAAAAAGAATCGTCTGGGATGCAAGCAAAGCTGTAATGAGGGGATTCTTGATACAACAGAATGCAGTAAAGAAAAGAACACAAAATGAGAAAAAGATAAGATCTTGGATAAAATAAAAGAATTAGAGAAGAAATTAAGAGTGAATCCGAAGTCACAGCCAACTCTGAGAGAAATTAAACTTTATCAGACACAATATTCTAAATTGATAAATCAGGAAATTGAATGGAAGGTTAAATTAATGAAACAAAAACGTTTGAGTCGGCGAATAAATGTGGAAAATTGCTAGCTTGGCAGTTGAAGAGAAGACAAAGATTAAATACGGTTACAAACTTAGAAGTCGATGGAAAAACATTCAGAATCCAGTGGATATTAGAAAGTGTTTCCAGAGATATTTTAAAAAACTATACACTCAAGGGCCGCAAGACGAAGTTGAGATTAAACATTTTTTGCCAAAAATGGACTATCTAAACTGTCACAAGAAAATAGGACAATCCTGAATTCTAAAATAACACGACAGGAGATTGAACAAGCCATCCAGAACATGCAACTCGGCAAATCTCCAGGGCCAGATGGGCTGACCTCCAAGTACTATAAGACATTAAAAGACTATTTGATACAACCTTTGATGGAGGTCAGCAATGAAATTATGGAGGGGAAGAGGGCACCGGAGTCGTGGAAGGAAGCGTTCATCACATTAATACCAAAGTCGGAAGCTGAAAAGACACAACTTAAGAACTACCGTCCCATCTCCCTTTTAAATGTGGATTACAAAATATTTGCAGACATTTTGGCAAGTAGATTTAAAAAAGTTTTAAATGAAGTAATCCATAAGGACCAGGCCGGCTTTCTCCCAGGTAGACATCTGTTTGCTAATACAAGGAACATCATTGACATTTTGGAACTTTTGCAAACAGATATAAATACAAAAGCAGTTTTAATTTTTATAGATGCGGAGAAGGCCTTTGACAATATCTCCTGGAAATTTATGAAGGGAAATTTAAAAGAGATGGGAGTGGGACGGGGTTTTGAGAATGGGATTGAGGCGATATATTCAGAACAGAAAGCTAAATTGATAGTTAATAATGTGGTTACAGAAGAGTTCAAAATTGAAAAAGGGACACGACAAGGTTGCCCTATTTCCCCTTTGTTATTTATCTCGGTTCTGGAAGTGCTATTGAACATGATTAGAGGGGATCGGTTGGTGGAAGGAATTCAGGTCGGTCAGAAACAATATAAATTAAAAGCTTTTGCAGATGACCTGGTTTTGACCCTGCAGAAGCCAGAGCCCAGTACGAAAAGAGTATTACAACTGATAAATGACTTTGGTCGGGTGGCTGGATTTAAATTAAATAAACAGAAAACTAAGGTTTTGGGGAAAAATTTGACAGATACAGAGTCAGAACGGTTTCAGAATGAGACGGAACTTAATGTGGTTAAAAAGTAAAATACCTAGGGGTAAACATAACAGTAAAAAATCTAAGTCTATTTAAGGATAACTATGAAAAATGCTGGTCAGAAATTAAGAGAGACTTAGATAGTTGGTCAAAACTGAAACTTTCTTTGTTAGGCCGAATTGCTGCTATTAAGATGAATGTATTGCCAAGGATGTTGTTTTTATTTCAAACACTTCAGGTTTTGGACAAAACGGAGTGCTTTCAGAAGTGGCAGAGAGACATTTCTAAGTTTGTCTGGCAGGGCAAAAAGCCCAGAATTAAGTTTAAGATATTAACTGATGCAAAACAAAGAGGGGGCTTTGCCCTGCCAGACTTAAAGTTGTATTATGAAGCCGCAGCGTTCTGCTGGCTAAAAGACTGGCTACTTCTTGAGGACACTGATGTGTTGGATCTGGAAGGGTTTAACAATGCCTTTGGATGGCATGCATATTTATGGTATGACAAGGTTAAAGCAAATAAGGCCTTTAAGAACCATATTGTCAGAAAATCATTGTTTAATGTCTGGATAAAATATAAAGACTTGCTGGAAAATAAAACACCAAGGTGGCTTTCACCTCTGGAAGCTAAGGCCCGAAAAAGACCCAATATGGAGGCTAGATGGCCAAAATATTGGGAAATACTAGAAAAGGATGGAGACAATTGGAAATTGCAGAGTTTGGAGAAAATGAAAGACAAAGTGCGAGATTGGTTACACTACGCTCAGATTAAAGAAGTTTTTAAAAATGATAAGAAATTAGGGTTCCAGGTGGAGAAATCGAAACTAGAAACAGAATTGTTAGAACCAAAGATTAAGGTACTTTCAAGGATGTATAACTTGCTGTTGGAATGGAATACACAAGATGAAACGGTTAAATCGGCTATGATAAGGTGGGCACAGGACATTGGGTATAATATTATGTTTGAGGACTGGGTAAGGTTGTGGAGTAATGGATTGAAATTCACTGCATGTAACGCTTTGAAAGAAAATGTAATGAAAATGATTTATAGATGGTATATGACCCCAGTCAAACTTGCAAAAATTTACCACCTGTCTGATAATAAGTGTTGGAAATGTAAAGAGTGTGAGGGAACGTTCTTCCACCTCTGGTGGACTTGCCCTAAAGTGAAGGCGTTCTGGGAAATGATTTATAATGAATTGAAAAAGGTATTTAAATATACCTTCACTAAGAAACCAGAGGCTTTCCTTTTGGGTATTGTCGGCCAAGGGGTGGCAAAGAAGGACCAGACATTTTTTATGTATGCAACAACAGCAGCAAGGATACTTCTCGCAAAACATTGGAAAACTCAAGATCTACCCACACTGGAAGAATGGCAGATGCAACTGATAGACTACATGGAACTGGCTGAAATGACCGGCAGAATTCGTGACCTGGGAGAAGAGAGGATGGAGGAGGATTGGAAGAAATTTAAGAACTATCTACAAAAATATTGTGATTTGAGTGAATGCTAAATAAGATGCTAGATTAAAATAACTGAGCACCACTTAACTTAGAAGTTTTTAAGAAAACAAGTAAGACTGTGAAAGTTTAACTCTTTTGAGAATTATAAGACTATGAAATATTGAAGGGATATAAGAATTCAAATAAGATGATAAATTGCTGACAAAATGTTATAACGATGAAAGTGGGAGCGGGAGATGTGAGGAAGTCCAAAGAAAATGTGAAACTATGTTAAGACAAATGTTATATTGTTTATTATGTTTATTCTTATTGTAAAACCCAATAAATTGCTTTAAAAAAAAAAAAAAAAAAAAGTGTAGATAAGCATGAAGTCTGTATTAAAGTGAGAACTGTATCAATTTTCTCCCCCATCTCTACCATACCTGTCAGACTTCGGGAAAATCAGCTCCCTCCCATGGGGCAGCCCAGAATCAGAGAAACGGTAAGAGTTCTTACCAAGCCATTTATTCAATAATTCACAGAGAACGATGAAGGAATGCAGTCTTCCTAAAGGTGGAGATGCTCTAACTGAGCTCATTCTCCCTGCCTTCCTAGCAACAACACTTCCCCTTACGGTGGCCGCCAGGGGCTAATAGTCTCCGAGTCCTTCACGCTTCAACTTTCAGCGCATGCCGAGTTCTGGGTGAAGGGGGGGGGGTCAGAAATGCTCTCCAGTGATGACGTGTCAGCTGGCTGCTCTGTCTGTCTCCCCCTTCTCTTCTGCCAACACCTCCTGTGATGGGATTATGAGCTGCTTGTGCGTAAAATCGTATTCCCTCAGAGTTTGTTCAAGTCCACAAACCTCTGTCTGTGACTGAGCCCCTCTGACATGGCTCCTCTAGTCACTAGAAGATTCCGACAGTGGTTGCTTTCGTAATCGCTTCCAACATAAAAGCTCCTTAACGGAAACACGTCTTCTGGACTCTCTGCGTGACAGTTTCCGGCGAGGAGTGGGTGTCGCTACAGGAGGTCCGGAAACCTCACCACTGTTTTCGCTGGAAGTATCTCTGAGCCATCCCCCCAGCTCCCTTTCCCTCAGTTCAGCTTCTCTCCCCTGCTGGTTTCCTCTTCCGCTGCTGAGTCTCTTCCAACCTGTCTGAGCCCTTTCACCTCCCTCAGTTCAGCTTCTCTCCCTTGCTGGTTCCCTCTTCAGCTGCTGAATCTCTTCCAACCTGTCTGAGTCCTTTCACCTCCCTTCCTTCCGATGGCAGTTCCCTGACATCCACCTCCCTCCAGGGCCCCCTTCACCCCCTCTCGCCCTCCTCTACGGGCGGTGAGGAGGCAAACCCCGGAATGAACTTCCTTCATCTTCCGATGTCTCGAACACTTCTCTCCACCTGTTGCGGTTCCTGGTCTCGAAGCACTCCTCCTCCTCCGAGTCCATCTCCCCTCCCCTTCCGATTCTGGGAATCCTTCCAACTCCTCCTCCTCCTCAGTGGTCCCAAAGTATTCCCTCCGGAACCTCTCCACAGGCTGAGGTTTCCGCGGGAACCTTTGATGGAACATTTCTATCAATACCTCGTCATTGATATCTTTGGCCATTACCCACGTGTTTTCTGACTCGGTTCTCCTTCCCACGCTACCAAATACTCCACCTGATTCCCTTCCACCTGGCATCAAGGAGTTCTGCCACATGACTGCGGCAGTCTGTTTCGGCTATGACCGGTCCCCGAGTGGCCATCCCTTCGTCCCCTCGTACGGTGACAGTAACGACCTGTGAAATACTGGGTGCAGTTTCATGTGGTTGGGTAACCGGAGCCTGAAAGCCACTGGGTTGACCTGTTGAATGACCTCAAAGGGACCCAACCTCCTGGGTCGTAATTTCTTACAACCTCCTTTGAACGGCAACCCTCGGGTTGACAGCCACACCCTATCTCCAACCCTTATGGTTTCACCTTCCCTTCGGTTCTTGTCTGCCTGCCTCTTGTATTCTTCCTTCGCCCTTTCTAAGTTGAGTTGGAGCTGACGGTGGATTGCTTCCATTTCTTCTACAAAATGCTCGGCTGCCGGTACGCTCCATCTCTCCCCTTCTCCCCTGGGAAAGCCCTGGGATGACACCCATAATTAGCCAAGAAGGGGCTCATCCCTGTGGACACATTCTCGGCATTGTTGTAGGCAAATTCCGCCAGCGCCAACTTTTCTACCCAGTCATTCTCTCTGTCATTGACATAACACCTCAGGTATTGCTGGAGGACACCGTTTGCTCTTTCCGCCTGCCCGTTGGTTTCAGGGTGCCGGGCAGTCGAAAAGTTGACCTCCACCTGCAGTAAGCTCATGAGCTTCCTCCAGAACCTGGAAGTAAATTGTTTTCCTCGGTCTGAGACCACCCTCAATGGCACCCCGTGCAACCTAAAAATGTGTTCTACAAATAACTTCGCTGTCTCTTCCGCCATGACTGCATGCGAGCAAGCTACAAAGTGGCACATCTTTGTTAGTAGATCTACCACCACCATGATGGCTGTTTTCCCTTTGGACTTCGGCAGATCAGTCATAAAATCTATCGACACTGCCTCCCAAGGTCGTTCTGGTGTTGGTAAGGGTTCTACTAGCCCCGCCGGCGCCCGCCTTTCCCCTTTGGCTCGCTGGCACTGCTCGCACCCTCTTACATACTCACGTACATCCTCCCTCACCTTAGGCCACCAAAATTCCCTGGTGACCAACCACATGGTTTTGTGTTGCCCAAAATGCCCCGCCGTGGGGCTGTCATGCAACTGCTTGAGTACCCTCCCCCTTAAGTCTCCTTCAGGGATATACAGTGCCCCTTTGTAATACAAAGCTCCATTTCTTTCCTCGAAACCCCTTGATTCCTCTCTTCCCTCCACAGCTCCCACCATCCCTTGCCATTCCTTCCTCTGGGGGCAGACTCTGGCAAAGTGCCCTGGCTGTTGGCAGAGATAGCATTTCCGGGCGCCTTTTCCATCCTTCTTTCCCCCCTCACTGGGCTTTGAAACTGCGCGCGCGCGCTGTTCCGATTTCCATCGGCTCTGCCGGCGGGACAGTTGGCTCTGGAATGTCTGGAATGCGGAACTCCTTCCAACGTTCCCCTTTCCCTTCCCGCCTCTCCAATGCTCTCGCCTCCTGGCGCGCTCCTATGGCCAGCGCTGATTTGGTCAGCTGGTCCATAGACTCCGCCCTGGGCGCCCGGGAAAGTTCATCTTTCACAGCCGAAGAAAGCCCTTCTTCAAAGAGCATTTGAATGGGTTCCGCCGATAAGTCCCACCCCAATCTGTGTATCAGCATGGTGAACTCAGTCCAGTACTCACGTACAGATCGGCTCCCCTGTTTGCAAGCCATTAACTGTCTGCGCACCACTCCCTTTTCAATATCGCTGGAAAACATCAGATCCATGGCGCGAAAGAACTTCATCGTGTCCTTTAGGACGTCACTATGCGCTGCCATCAGGGGTCTCACCCAGTCTCTCGCCCCCTTTTCAAGATGCCCAATCACAAAAGCCACTCGTGATTCCTCATCAGGAAATCATCAAACTGCAGATTGAGGGCATATTGCATTTCTGTCCGAAAGCTATGATAGTCTTTGGGCTCCCCCCCAAATTTCTGCACCAATCCTGGTACCTTTCTGGCGAGCTGGGTGGCTTTCTCCCTTTGTCTGCATCTTGAGCCCTCCTCTCCTCCAGCCTCGCCGTCTGCAGCGCCAGCTGGACCTCCAACACCCGGTACCTTTCTTCCAGGCTTGGACCCGCTCCAGCCCCTGCTTCTCCGGTTCCTGCTGGGTTGCTCATTATGCCTTCTCCTGCACAAGCTGCGTTCAAAGACTGTCGGAATGCTGTGATGGGATTATGAGCTGCTTGTGCGTAAAATCGTATTCCCTCAGAGTTTGTTCAAGTCCACAAACCTCTGTCTGTGACTGAGCCCCTCTGACATGGCTCCTCTAGTCACTAGAAGATTCCGACAGTGGTTGCTTTCGTCATCGCTTCCACCATAAAAGCTCCTTAACGGAAACACGTCTTCTGGACTCTCTGCGTGACAGTTTCCGGCGAGGAGTGGGTGTCGCTACAGGAGGTCCGGAAACCTCACCACTGTTTTCGCTGGAAGTATCTCTGAGCCATCCCCCCAGCTCCCTTTCCCTCAGTTCAGCTTCTCTCCCCTGCTGGTTTCCTCTTCCGCTGCTGAGTCTCTTCCAACCTGTCTGAGCCCTTTCACCTCCCTCAGTTCAGCTTCTCTCCCCTTGCTGGTTCCCTCTTCAGCTGCTGAATCTCTTCCAACCTGTCTGAGTCCTTTCACCTCCCTTCCTTCCGATGGCAGTTCCCTGACACCTCCCCATCCAACTCTACAGTTCTATGATTCTATGATTCTGTAACTCTTCTGCTCACCTGTCTCTGAGCTGTGACCTTCCTCAAACCACTGCTGTAATTCAAGACTGCCTTCCTCTTTTCTGGGAAGTTCAGGAGGAGGGAGGCGGTCTCCACCATTCCCCCTCAGCCCAGTCCTTGACAACACCACAGGTTCTTACATTACTATGGTTTTCATCAAGCATTACCATAAAGTATAAAGAAACATGTGAAAGGGAAAGCAGGAATAAGTATGTTAGCTCTGTGGCTTCCCCATCTTCCCCATCACTGTCCATTGATGAAAAGTAACTGTGTGAAGCAGGAGTCTCCTGCTTCGGGGG